TCGTGGCTCCTTGTCCAGGCACTTTTTCACCAAAAGCCATTCCTCTTGACATTTGTCATCCTTTGAATGCTTTTTGGTGGACAAATTACCGCCTCCTCCATTCCATGCGTGTTTTTGGTTTTCAATTTTGCCCTTCTATTCCAAAAATTCTACAAATTCCGTATTGTACTGTATAAGAGCTTTATTTCCTGGTCCTGTTTGGATTATGACCATTGTTCACTATGGTAATTATCTTTATTCTTCATCTAGACCCTTCTGAGAAAGATTGTTGCACTGCGACGTTTTTATCGCGATAATTACGTCGCGACGGAGCAAACAAAAACATTCTGTAAATTTTTGGAAGTTCTCAAATGTTAGACTTTTTGTAGTTCACTGATGTATGCACCCTTTATTCACAAAAAGTTAGAAGAAAACTTATGACCTCTCGACGATTTTCTAGCGATAATCACGTCGCGACGGAAAAACGTGTCGCAAACCGTTTTCAGCAGTGCTCAATTGCTGCTGAAATTTTTTTATGTAGAAAAATTTTCCAGAAATGACATCAAAGTGAAGGGCGAGGACATCTGCGACAAACCTCGCGCCTCTACACATAGCAAGTTCGTGCCTGTTAGCCACGCGCTTGGAGCTAACTCGCGACATATTGTCCTTTACTTCCATAAGTTGACCCAATGTATGAAAACAACTTCGCCAAGAGAACATGAAAAATTGTCCACTTTTCCCAACTCTCCCCCTCTCCCACCCCTTCCTTCTCATTCCTCTTCTCCTGGCCTCCTTGCCCTCCTCTTCTTCTTCCTCCACTCTTCCAACTTCTAATGCCCAAGTTTATTCAATAGTTGAACTTTTTTCTCCTCTAACTAAGCTGCCACAAGCTTATTTATTCTATTCTTGTTCTCCTGAGGATGTTGTGCGTGAGACAAATTGAGGACAAACGAAGCGAAGCACCAATACGAACGCAAGTCACGCGAGCCGTTCCCTTTTCTAAACAGAGTACAGGCCTATTCTATACAAGGACTTTTGCACTGGTGTGTTGTGTTAGTAGGTTTGTCAATAATGCAATTATTTTTGAGATTTTGCTGGAATCAATGCAATTTCGATGAGAGCTGGTACTTTTTACGAATAAAATGCAGCCTTGCTGCGAAAATTTTATTTTTGATATCTGATTCCACCATAGACAAAAAATATGTATTTGAACTGTTATCGTTTCATGTTTTTGGTTGATCAGTTAAAGTGATTATTTTTTAATGAACAAAACTTATCCATTCTGCTTCCTGCTCAATCTCATAGATTTGTTTTTACTGTTGGGCAGTTTATATACCACCTGTTATCATCATAACTCTATATAAAGCGCAGGGGGGCCCATCTGACGTCAAGCTGCCGCGACGATGTCAACAATTCCATCTGTCTCGAATGCACCCAATGCACCCAGATTGATGACTCAGTGCTTGAGTCTATTTTCCGAGTTGTTGATCAGAATGCCCTTTCATACTCAATTCCAAGCGGTAACATTGATTGACCACATTTTCACCAAACGACAGTCCCTTTTTCAGCTTTTTGAAGTTGTGCGAATTTCTATGGTAGCAGATCAAGTTCTTTACCATTATCATGCTCATAAGTACAAAGATACTTTAGAACAGCTCATCAAAGTTGTAGTTGCTGCAGCAGCTATTGTAAATGCGATTTTTCTCATTGATCCTCTTGGTTCAGAAATTCGCTCATCAATTATTTGTGCAACTTTCCATGCTGCTAGCGCAGAGGCAAGGGAGTTTCGTCCACAGTGGGTTAAAATTGAAGGAAGTGGGAAAGGCTAGACGATGTTCCCATCAAGGGAAAACTGGGGTTTTGGAAAGTCTAGGCAAGAGACAACTATTCGCTGTAATTGCCGCTGATGTTTCAGCTTTGAATACTAGACAAGATGGAATGCAAGTTAGCTTCATCATCAAGTAGACCTTGCTAACCTCAGTAGTGTAAAGTTGCAAATTTTTTTAGCGCGTTTTTTTGTCAAGATATTGCACAATCCAAAAATTATATGAACAACGCAGACGTGGTGCTGTACCATGGCGTTGCGGAGTGCGACGTCTGGATTTTGGTATTATCCAGATTGAGTTAGGCAAACGTGCAGCGGCGCATTTTGAATACAGCAGCTCGAGGCAAGGTCTGAGGGCTACTGAGTGAGATTCGAGAAGATTGAAAATGCGAGAAAGATTAGTCGGTCACGGAGCCTCATATAGGATCTTTTCTGTGAAAAGGAATTGATGGGGGAGAGGAAGCACGGAAAAGTGTGCAAAATTATGTATCTATCCTGTAGAGCGCAGGAGTTAACAGCGGTGTTGATAAAAGAAGCAGGGACTTTTACTAAGAAACTTCTGGATTTTTAGCAGGAAAGATGGATACAACTTCGACAGCCTCTTTTTTCGTGTGTCTAATAAATTCTTGCCATATTTTGAGGAGGGAAGTTCTCCACAGAACTTTGTAACTGTACAAAAGCATTGCTGTTCAAAGTTGTAAGTGGTGCAGCAAAAATTCCAAATGTGATTTTCTTCATGAAAGTTCTCAATTTTGATACACCAACAGCCGTATTTTTATTATCTGTTCAACGTTTCACAGCGCGAGGAAAATAGTGGGGCTGTGGTTGCATTGTGACCAAAGGGAATGTGACAGGATGGAAAGGCCTTCAAGGAAGGAAGGAAAATAGGGGAAATTTGAACTATGACGGATGGAGTTTCGTGAATGGAAGCTAAATCGTAAAGCACTGGAAGCACTTTCATAAAGGGTTTGAGGAAAGGAAGCGGGATGGAATTCTACCTTTTGATTGTGATGACAAGCATAGAATCTACCAACAATCCGATTATTCGAAAACTTGGTAAAGGACGTTTTGAGCAGAAGATGCGCTTTGAGAGAGTGAAGAAAAGGGAAATCCGATCAATCATTGTGAGGGACTACCACAGGTGGAGCTTTTGGTAGAGTGGAAATGCCTCATCTTAGCCAGCAAATTCTGTGTGGTACTTCATAAAAATCTGAAACTTGGCGAACTGTAGGCAGATTTTCGATCAGCAACTTTGAGGTTACGCATTGCGATGGCAGCGTCAGCAGAAGGAAAACCGAAGGGTAGGACAGAAGCTGAGATATTCAAAGAATTTCTATTCGAAGGTTTTGAAATATGATAAGTTTTTCGCAAAAAAACTCTATTGGAAACTGTTCAATTATTTCATTCGTAGTCTATCTTTCCTCTATTTTCCGTAGGTTGGAAACTAATGAGGGAAGAGGGTTGGGGGCAGGGAAAGAAAGAAGCAAAATTTGCTCAAAACTTCAAAAGCCGGAAAAAGTTCACGCTGTTCTGTACCGTAGGGTGCGAGTAGCTGGCGAGGGGAAAGGGGGAGGGGGGAGAGGCAGGGGGGGGGGGGGGGGAAGGGACGGGAGAGGAAGATACTTGGCACGAACAGAAAAAGCCTGGAGCGGAGTCAAGTAATTAGTGGCACACTTTCCGAAAAATTTTAGCAGTGAGAGGATTTTGATGGAGGTAACGCAGCATGTGGCGTGCAGCTATTTGAGTCCAAGCCAGCAAAAGCCTGTCGGAGTTTCTTATAAATTAAAGAGCTGGAACTAACTTACCACTCTTCAGTGCTTTCTTATAAAATTTTGCGTGCCTGAAAGGCATTATGCTATATGGGGATTGTATCCTGTATCAATAGGGGCGGGGCTGGGGAGGGGACGGGGGAGGGGGGGGGGGGAGAGGGGAGGGAAGAGACGAAGGCAGGGGTGAGAGGAGAGGGGAGAGAAAGGTACTATGGCATAGACAGAAAAGCCCTGGAGTCTATTTACGCATTTAGTGGCACACTTTATCCGAGTTAAGAAGATTGTAGTGGAGCTATGGTAGCATGTGGCATAGAGCTTTTTGAGCCCAAATCAGCTAAAGATATTCATGTTTGTTGAAGGGCTAGAGACTAGGGAGTAACTTACTACTATTCGATGCTCTCCACACGTGCCTGCAAGGTTTTATGCTATACTTTCGGCTACGGAAAGCTGAAGATAAAACTTCACGAAATCTAGCTTTTGAACACTTCTTACTCCACACACACACAGCCAGTTCAAAGCGCCGCGAAGCGGCGCTTTGAACTGGTGTGAAATAAATAAGTAAGTGAATAGATAAACAGTCGATCCAATCAATAAACAAATGTAGTGCAACTTACGAGAAGTTAAAATTCATTTAATTACTAGCACATTATGACTGGGCTCCATTTACAACACAAATTTAGAACTATAGAAACTGTGCAAGCAAATTAATCACTACATGTACTCTTATTTTCCATCCTTTTTTACGAAAAGTGGAAATCGAGGAAAAAATCTATTCATTTATCCACTTGCTTATTTATTTATCTATGTATCCATTTATACCTTTGAAGAGTGCTATGAAGGTCATTGTCAGATAAAATTGAAAGCCTAGCAACTTTAAAAAGAAGAGGAAAATAAATAATCTACCCTGTAAATAAGAAACCGATTAATATTTTTGGTCTGGGTTGGTGTTAATTATGTTTCATATCAACTATCTATCAACTTTGTAGAATCAAGAAATAGTCCCTGACTATTCCGCAAAGATTAGATTATTTTCGGTGATCAATACCAAAATCAATAATGAATATTTTTGATCGATATCCTCTGCAGAGTTCAAAACATAGTTCGTATATAGTCTTCTCAATTCTTCATACTAAAGCCCGAGAAAGCCTTTCAATCATTTCCATCATTTTCTCTTTCTTCCGTTTCGCTCCTGAATTGCACACTTTTTCATTCGATATGATAATCGCCTCATAGTGCTTAATGTATACTTTTATGTAGAACATTTAGTCACTCTATGACTCAGCAATCATCGCACGTTTGCATTCTAAACACTTTGTTTCTGTTCTGTTCAGCAGTTTTTTCTAATCTGTGTATGTCAATGATTTTTTTTAATTTGCACTTTTCGGATCATGTTCGTAAAGCGGTTTTTGAACTCTCTCACTTCTACTTTTCAGAAATATGTCCACATTCAATCAGACGTCTTCCTACAATAGAACTTACGAAAAGAAAATCATCGAAGAAACACCTCGAATTCGAATCTCAAATCTTCAACAAACATCTCCATTTGGCTCTACACATCACATCATTCCCGTAAGTTTCTGTCGTCTACTTCTCTGATTTTATTTATGGATTGAGTAGCGTTTTTATGTTTGAGCAATTTGGGTAAGTAGAGAATTTATGGGAACTCAAAGAGGAAATTTGGAGCTTAGCTGGTCAGAAAAGATAGTTTACGAGCAAGTATGCGGTACCTAGTTCCAGTGGTACTTAAGATCAAGCATACCTGTCTTAATGAGATTGAAAAAAAGAAAAATAAAGAAAATCATATTTCGATATGTGAAAAGCAATAAAAAGATGTATATTTGCATGATTTCCTAATTTATTCTCCAGTCCACAAATACACGTCGTATCGTTACGCACAAATTTCAACAAAGAGTTCTTGAACAAGCCTTCCAACATATTTCTCATAAAGGTCGCAAATATTTATCACATTAAAATTCAAGCGCTAAAACGCCTAAATGCAATAGGCGAGAATGGGAACAAAAAGCTAATGTATGCCATTGTATTCTATGTAAACACTGACTAAGAATTACAATTGAAAACACATGAGGAAGATTCATTTTCAATGCCTTTGATGAAAATTCTGCGTATTTTGATGAAGCACACTTTCTTAAATCACTTCAGATTGATCTTTCCAAGGTCGCCTTTCAATGATCTCGTTAAGCTGAAGACATTGATGTTCAAAAAAAAGTTTTTTTGGAAATTTATGTTGCTGTTCTAGAGCCCAACGGAGAGGAAAGATTCTGTGATCAGGTTGCTCATACCCTTTGAGGAATATTTGCAAAGCTAATTTGAATTTTTCAGAAATATGTGAAAAATCATCCTGATTGTTCAGAAGTAAAATCAAGTCCTTGCGCATTTTCAAGACTCGTATGGGCCAATTCCAAAAAAAATAGCGCCGTCCCTCCACCTTTGTCCGTTAGCAATCCTTTTGCATGCATAAAATTCCTCTAGAATCAAGCTTCTGAATCCCAAAAAACGCAACGTTTACAGAAATTCACTGGAGGCCAATTCTCAGATCTAGAATGGCCAAAAGATCTGAAAAACTTCAAGGTAATGTTGAAACTATTCTAGTAGTATTTAATGCATTGTAGCTTTTGTCTGGAATTTGTGTAGACATGAGAAAACATTAGAAGTACTAATATAAATAGATCAGTAGAAAAATATACTACTAATATACTATATAATCGACTTAAGTATAGATTATGGACAACACTTGTACCATAAAACCATGAAATTTCTGCACTGGCAGGCGAAGTGAAAGTATTGGGGTTTGTGCTTTTTCTTTTTCTGTTTTGTTGTCAAATTTCTCCTCAAAAATAAAGTGGTCAAATCAGTTTCCTCCAACATTTCATGAGATATGACTCAACAAACAAACAGCTGCATCCGAAACATTCCCACATGACGCACATGTGAGATCACTAAGCGCAAGCGGGGGAGGACCAGGGAGGGGGACGGGGGTGAAAAGTTTCAGAGTGTGATTGAGTAGGTTGACGTGATGCTGCACAACACATACACATTTAACGAACAATAACAACAGTTGTATTTTCAGCCGTCGTTCCCGTCGTTCCCGACCTCGGCATCTTTTGGAGGAAATGTCTCATCGATTCATGTCACCGACGATACACTCAGTGCCACAATGGATGTTTCTCAGTATAAAGCAGAAGACTTGAAGTTAAGCAGGCAATTTTCAAAAATCTTTCTGACCCTCCAAATAACCAATCACGTGGATTTTGGAACAGTTCCGGAATGGATTTATTTCTCGGGGGTACGACTGCGTGTTACCCTATTCAAGTTAATTCAAGGAACTTACTATTCGGAAAAGAACTGTTAATAACTATCGAATCAAGAACACTTGCGATAATTTCTTTAGTTAGAACGGCTGAGACGATTCACCGAAATTTCCTTAGAACGTTTGATTCCGACGGGTTACCTGCGAAAGTGTCGCAAACGTGCTGCAGAAGTTCCCAAATGAGGTGCTGCGGAAGTTGCGAAAAATGCGAACCACAATAGCAAAAGAGAACGCCTAAGCGAGTTTCAAACCTTGCTCTAATGACTGAGAGACTTACTATCCTCCGCACTACGAAACATTCGACAATGCACTCTAGCTGTTGGCTAAACAACATCTTAAGAGACAGCACATTCAAAAACCTGCGGTACTAGGCAGATCAAAGTGCTGCGGAACAGCTGGCATTTTCCGGATTTTTCGCAGCATTTTATAACAAATCCTGCGGAAGTTCCCGTTTCAGTTAGTCTGACGTAAAAATTCTGCGGAAGTAGCCATTTTCAACGTATCCACTTTTGTAATTAGGCAAGATCCTGCGGAACCGCTGCAAAACTTGCTTGTCCTGCGGAATCTCCGGTGGATTTCTTAGGGTATGGCAACAAGTAGACAACAAGGGGAATGATTAAAAAATAAAACAGTAACTATGTATCACGAAGCATACTTTTCTTACATAGATTTAAAACTGTTCGGGAAAGTGCCCGTTATGATTAGCTCACATTTTTTTCTCTAACCAGATTACTTTTTACATAATCCGATTATCTATTCTTTCGAGGCTAATATAATCAAGTTCGTTGTAATTTATTCAAATAGCACAAAAGTCATTTTCCCATGAAGATTTACCTACTTCCTTCTTTTTTACACTTTTTCCCGACTTTTCAAAATCGGTTAATAAGATAGCAACAAGAAAGCCGATGGGAATTATACAAGGATACGAATTACGAGAGATACATTACTATTAGGTTGATGCAAAAGAAATGGCCGATTTTCCAAGCCTTTTTTCAGGATAACTTTTTCCATCAATACTTGTTCTTTACAATGGATGTAGTATATTGTCGGGGGGTTGTTTTCATGCCCTATCTAATGGTGCTTGAAAAGGGCTCTCATCTTCATCTCTTATAAAGTTACTGAGCTTCAAATAACCGCATCCAAATTCAGAATTTCATTGCATTCACTTTTCCAGCCAGAATTCAAGCGCGTATTGATGGGATTTCTTCGAAAATTTAGCTATTGTATGTAATAGAAATTTTCTACATTATGCATACTTAACTGCATTCTTTGAAGTTTTCCAGACTGAGATATCGGCGCCTAAACATGGGTAGCTGTTGCGGTCATTTTATGACCCATAATTTTCTTCTGAGGAAGTCAGTCACCGAAGCTTTGCTTAATTCTTTAAGCGTTGAGCTAGGACATTTATTAGCAGTTTTTGCAAGAACATAAAGCTGTTCAGTACGTAGAAAATCAGAAAATTCTATATTTCGGACCTTGAGGCACACTGAAAAAATGTTGAAAAAAACTGAGAAATTTTAAATTTCAATTTTTTCTTTCTCGCAAACTTTTTTGTCCGATTTCCTTTTATTGTATTTTGTACTACTGGCTTGCGGCTACAAGATAGGCCACTTGCCATTCATACTTAGAAACTTTGAAAGAAGTTATGAATTGTCAAAGGCAAGGTTCCCGCAGAAGAACCGTTTTTGTCTTTTAGCCCGTATATCTCTTCCCGTTTATGGTTTGAGTATAAATAAGTATGCGCTGTGTTGCGAAAGGTTCGCTGCTTCTGCGGGTCTTTACCGCATTCAGAAATGTGGATCTTTTAGAAAGTTATAGCACATTAAAGTGAGAATTCGCAAATCGGCCATTCCCTTTGCATCAACCTAATACATCAAGTGATGGAATGTTCTTTTTTGGTACTTTTCGTACAAAAGTCATTTCAGGTCTCAGTCGTTGGCAACAAAATCGTCGTCGAAGGCAAACATCCCGAGATAGCGGATGAGTTCGGCACTATTGAACGACACTTTATCAGGTGATATATTTGAAGAATAATGTTATTAGGTTGATGCATAATTCTTGCACCAAAATAGGTACAGACCGCAATAACTCGGAGTAATCCTATATCCCAAGTAGGATTCGATATATCATTTGATAGCGCAAACCTAGCTCTACAAGACAGTGCTCAAATATCTACACCAGCTTTGATCCACGCGAAGTTCTGAGCCAAAAACTGAAAAAAACTATGCGTCCAAAAACCTTAAGAAAGATCTTAAAAAATTTGTAACATCGTTCAAAAGGCTCATGCAAATTTTCTTTCTTGCTCACGCGTAGACGTTCCATGTAAGACATTTATATATCATTTATATATGCGGTTGCTGTATTTTTTTCTCAACTCTCTCGAAAAAACGAAATTTTTTGAAGTTTTTCATGTTTTTGCCAAATTAGTGCTGAGATGTTCTAGTATTAACAGTTGTATAGTACATTCCGTTAGCAGTGAAACTTTAAATTTTCAGCCTCCTAGAACTGCTAGTTCGCGAGAAATAACGAATCTAGCTCTCCTTATCCAAATTTTTCTTGCCTAGTTGCTAAAAATCCGATATTTCTCGTAAACCAGCTGCTCTAAAGAGCTGAAAATTCACATTCACGCTTCTAAGGTCCTATAGTATACAACTGTCAGTGCTAGAACATCTCAGCATTGTTTTGGAAAAAACATGAAAAACGTCGTTTTTTCATCGTCTAGTTGAGAAAAAAATACAGCAACCGCATAGATAAATGTCTTACGTGGAACGTCTACGCGTGAGCAAGAAAGAAAATTTGGATGAGCTTTTTGAACGGAGTTACAATTTTTTTAAGATCTTTCTTAAGGTTTTCGGACGCATGGTTTTTTTCAGTTTTTGGCTCAAAACTTCGCGTGGATCAAAGCTGGTGTAGATATTTGAGCAATATTTTGTAGAGCTAGGTTTGCGCTATCAAATGATATATCGAATTCTACTTGGGATATAGGATTATTCCGAGTTATTGCGGTCTATACCTATTTTGGTGCAGGAATTATGCATTAACCTAATAGAATATTTTATTGAAAAAAAAACTTCGAAGATGACTTTTTTGGGCAACTTAGTGAGTAACAGGTGTGATAGGACAACAAGAAGGAAAATACCAAAGTTTTTGTTTTTTTTCTTGAAGCTTCGTTATCAAAACGATACCTTCACATTCGAAAAAATATGAAAAATATTTAATAAGAACCGGCATTCATTTCAACCAAATCTGTTCGTTTCGCGGTTGATATATGTATGACCCTATGAAATATAAAAATCAACGATTCTAGGAAATTTAACCTGCCGCGGGGAGTGGAGCCAGAAGGAGTTTCCAGCAATCTTACAAATGATGGAATTCTGACCATCCAAGCGCTTCCTTTGAGGCCGAAGGTAGGTTAAATATTGGGCAAATTCTCTCTTCAAAATCACTGAGTGACAGCACATTATTTTACCACTCTTCTGATCATCAAACTTGCATAAGTAACTGAAAATAGTTAGCTGTGGGTCTGACAGAAGTTCTTGGTAAAGGAACCTCAAAATCGTTGATCATCCAAGCGCAAGAATGCACAAGTGTCTTCGTGATTGATGGGTAGCACAAACTCGTCACAGTTTGTGACTCTGCCCTCAGATCCTCAGCTGCACTACAATTACCAGTACTCGGTTTATTTCTGGAATGTTCCCTCAAAACATCTATCAATTCAAAGCTGCTTTCAGGATGGTTCACCAGCCCGGGCGATTCCCATCAAGATTATAAGCGGTAAAACGGATGGAACAGCCTCTCCAGCACAAGATGGCAAAGCCGAAGAAAAGAAATAATCTTTATATTTTGTATTTATTGTCGATCTTGTATAAGCTGAGATCAACGCCCATGCTCCATGTCCCAGAGATGCTTAGTCTGCGTGTTTGTAACAGATGTGTTGTGTTCCGAGCGTTTTCTAGTCTTGCGTTGTTTACTCGTTATTGAAAGTCAGTAAATATATTCTCTATGCAAACCTTTGTTTATGGAGTGAGTACGAGATAAAAAACTGCAGGTCCGACTGTTTCAGCAAATTGTCTTTTTGATGCATTCCATTTGGAATCCCTAAAACTGATGTTCTTCTCGAATAATGTTGTGAGTTTTAGTGGTGTAGTTTATACTAGGAAGTAATGGGAATTAAAATGTCACATTTTTACTGAGCCGAAAAATTGCACTTATTCAAGTTCCCTTCCTTTTTCACCTCTAAAATAGATTTAGCGATGATAGATACCGAGATTTCATCACTCTAATCTACGGAGATGGTACCCATGCTTGCTTGTCTGCTAGCAAGCACGATTTATTTTTATTTTTATTTTTATTTTGATTTACACTCAGGGCTTATTCCTTGCTTCTTTTTTTGGTGTAGGTGGTGCACCAAAAAAAGAAGCAAGGAATAAGAAACACAACCAAGCAAATCAAGAACTGAAGTACAAACTAAGAAACAGATCAAAGTTAGACATCTGTAGAGTCCCCCCACCTACAAAATTATGACCATCCTCCCTTTTAGGAGTGTCAGCGAGCCCCCGGTGCCAAGCTAGCTGATATGGCCCCAACAGAAAAATTTAGGTTTCATTTTGGAGGTGGGCAGGATTCAGTAGGATGCAAGAAGTAACGAGAAACTTGGTTACACGGAAGTTGTAAACACAGAACAGATAACAGAAAATCTTCCGCAGCGGTCACTGTAGAAACGGTGCCGGCGCTGTACATAAAACAACCGAAGTAACACATAGAACCACAACAGAACAGCCGTAGAAGAATCTGAAAAAGAAATGATTGTCGAAATAAAATGAGGCAAAGGTAAGAAAAAGAGGTTGAAAAGAAAACAAAAAAAAATTCAACAACCAATTAAGGATCCTTCCATGACTCAAAGCTGAAGAACCTGAATATGAATGTTTACTTATGCACTGTTGTTCATCCACAATCTCCACACATCCCTCTATAAGAGGGATCTCCGGAAAATCTGGATGAACAACCAACAGCAACCATCAACAGAGGTAATTTCCACAGTTCAGTATACTTTCTAAATCAAGCTCTTGTAACCCCTTTTAAAAGTCTCACTATTTTTGGATGACAATAATTTAGCAGGCAGACGTCGGAACCAACGTGCGCAGCGGTAGAAAAGAAAGTTGAAAAGTCCAGAATAGTTGTATTTATTCAGCCTAGGATAGCAGAGATTGAAACTAAAGCGTCTGCAGCCAACGGGTTCAAAGACCTAAAAGCTGCTAGCGCTCAGATCTACCTCTTTTCGCAAAATACGAAAACAGAAAACAAGGTCAGCAATACTTCTTCTGGTTCTCAGTGACTTCAATCCAGTCCTTCTAAGCCGGTCCTTATAATCTGGCACTGTTCTAGCAAAGGTATTTTGAATTCGAGAAAGAACCATTCTTGTGAAAATGCGTTGAACTTTTTCAACTTTAGAACTTTGCTTCATACTTACTGGATTCCACACCTGGGAACAGTATTCCAAATGAGGAACCACATAAGCCTTGTATAATTTCGTCAGAATAACAGGGTCAGTACTGTGGATGTTTCGAAAAATTGAAAATAATGAAGAATAGGCTTTCTTTACTGCGTAGTCAATGTGCTCTTTGAAATCAAGTTTAGAATCCACATACACGCCCAGATCTCTTACTACGGAACAAGGAACCAACTCTCCTCCATTAATTTTGTAATTTGTGATTTAATAACGTTCAGAGCAGTTCCAAACGGACAGAGCAAACAAGATCTGCCGGCAATATAAAAGACTAGCTCCTTCCCCGGTCCAGCAGTCCTGGCGGTGGTCCTGGCGCAGTAGTTTGTACAGTAATCGTAATGCCGTGGAGAGGATTTGCAAAGGAGTTGCAAATTGCACGAATCACCCCAAGAAAGAAAAGGTCACGGTTTAGCCCGAAGATGAGTAAAGGTCGCGGATAAAAATTGAGGGGGAGGAAAAAGTAACCTAAGAGGGGCTTCCGGTAGAACGCAATATACCGTAATCAAGTTATGATAACATAAACTCCGCCGAAGGACGTAGTGGAAGAAGTGACGGTACTATGGACGTAGGGCTGTATATAAGGCAGACAACAAATCGAAAGGCCGGAGTGCCACTACATCCTCACTTCCCCTTCCTTTACGTGGCTCTAGGCACGACCCTCTCCTCTTCTCTATCCTTGGGGGTCGTGCCTTTATCCTTATCCATGAACATGTATGTGTGTGTTATTCTCGTCGGGTGATGTATCTTGTTTCTGTGCATGCTCTTGATGTTAAACTTAGCATTAAGAAGATAAATGTCGTTGGGAAATAATGACCTTCAGATGGACGTGTAAAATTTATGGCTTAAACGAGTTTTTACGACCAGTTATCTCTGTGTTACCTCTTATCATTTTGCGAACCCTAATTGAGGGTTCGCAAAATGATAAGAGATAACACTTGGTAGGAGGGTTTAGAGTAATTTGCGCACTTGGGAAATATGCGAAATCTTACAATGCGCCATTTTTGTCGCAGTATGTACATTCGTTTAATGGGGCCAACGCCGCGAGTGCAGTCACACACCTGCGCGCGAGGCCACCGTGGGCTGCAGCGTGCAGGGACCATGCCACACAAAGAGGCGTGGTCTTTGTTTTGGCTACTTTTCCTGATTCTTTCTTAGCTTATCCGCTGTCCTGCTTCCAAATTTCTGAGCTTTTACTCTCTGGAACTCTACTTCGGCACTTCCTGAGATTTCTTAAAGTGTCACCAGAGAATGGAAGCCCCCAAATAGAGGTTTGTGGTCTTTCAAAGAAGTTTTTCGAATCATTTCATCTGAGAATTCTGAGAAAGACTGGTGCTCTTCCTCCTTACAGCTGAAGGCGAATATGTGAGATGTAATCATGTATCGTACAGGCTGGGAGAACAGAGTGAACGGCGCGTTGGTGCTGTTCACTCAAACCCAAACGATGTATGATTATGTCCGCTGAAACAGGAGTCGATATACTGAATCATGACATCCGGAATCAGCCAGTGGGCCTGGATGAAATAAAAGACGAAGAAAAACGTTCAAAGATTTAATACTTCCTTCCTATGCTGCAAAAAAATTATATCCGGTATCAGGACAGATCGCATGTGAGCACTGAAGCAAGAATAATGGCAATCCAATGTTACAAAGACGGAAAATCACGAGGAACGCTGATAAAAACAAGGCCCGCGATGCATGGTCCCTGCGCGCTGCGCGTACGGTGACCTCGCGAATATATGTGTGACTGCACTACGCGGCGCTGGCCTCTAAACGCATTGTAGCTGCTATAGCTTTTTCGTTATCCAGGGACACCAGGATTTTGATGGTTCTCTCCAACAGCGTCTTTCACTTTCTTCAAGAACGTCATTAAGTGAACCGTTAAACTTAGAACCTAGCCTTTGAACTTTTATAGCCAACGTAACACGCCTTTATGACCCCAAAGTGAAAAGTGATAATTGAGTACCATATTTGTGATCAGTGCACCGAATAACCCCATGGACCAAGGTATTACAAGATTTCAAAATTTTGTAGATACCGGCGCATCACGATACCCCTTCCCCCATCATGCCTGCTGAAAGTACGAGCAAAATGTACTCCGGAGGACTTTTTAGCTGCCCCTCTCCTTTTGTATACTACTTCTCTTTCTCCGACCAAATTCAGAATTATCTCTGAGTGCCACAATAGACTGTAACGCGCACCAAACTGGAGATATCGCAAAGCACAGCTGCGTGTTTGTGGCGCTGTTTCTTGTGCAGAACGATTTTAACGATTATCTTGAAAGTCCTTTTATCTTGAAACCTGGGAATTTGAAAGATAACTTCAGTATTTGTTCTGTGCCGTACAGGTTTTTTATAGTAATACACTTTATTGCCTTACGTTTCGGCTACACAGAGGCCGTCATCAGAGGCCTGAAAGGTGTCAGTCACAAGGATGTTTGCTCTTGACCGCCAAACACCTCCTCCCACTTGCATATTCGATTCATCTAGTGTGGAAGAAGGAGGTTGGGCCATGACTATCACTCACCAGTGTATTACCGATATTGCAGTGTGCAACCGCTTTTAGACGAGCCCGTTCGACTGTGGTGACACAAGAATGAGCAGTGTGTATGTCACATAACTGCTTATATACGCTCAGACGATCTATAGCTCGCAAAACGGAAGATACGGCATGAGATCAGCGGTAATGGATAACTGTTCATCCTTGATGTTCATTTTGGGATCACGTGTAAGAATGAAAGACGCTTCCAAAGCCTTTCGGCAGCTATTTGACTTTATAGGCTAGTATTGTGCACCTTATATCGTAATCTGTTCCTTCGTGCTCTACCTTTCTGTGTTTATTTAGTGGGCTCATCATGCTCTGTTTTCTTTTGCCAGGTTTTAACGATGTTCTCCCAATAAGAGTAAACTACCGGTTACGGAGTCTCCTGCCATATCATCGCTTTCTACATTTGGTTCATTCAAGCACTTGTTGAGGGGATAAGAAAGGTGCGCGTTAACTCAGATATAACTGAGTTAGGTCAGAGTATCTGTGAGTTTCGACCAGATTACTATCGACCCTGGAATTTCCTGATGTATTGAAGTCTTCAGTGCCTTTCAAAAAGCAATAAAGCTTAGGAAATTGATTGTTGACTTGACTTCTGTAAATGAGCCTGAGGTCTAGTGCACGCTGTTCTCCATTCACATTCGGAAAAGGTGATAGATGTGAACCTAAACGTGAAGATGTTCGTGATATCGCAGCGTTACTTCCACTCCACATCGTAAATTGGAAGCGTCTTCAAGGTAATCGCACCAGTGACCGGAAGGACCAGTGTTGGGTAAAGTTCGTCGTTTGTTGTAGTGTGAGAAGAGGGATATGGTAGAACCAATCAATGTGTAGTATTTTCAGCATATCAAACATGAATAGAATAGGGGAAAATTACAGAAAAAAAGGTACCCTAATTTCACGCGTATAAGGCGCGGGGG